CCTGCATACACATGTGTACCTGCACACTCATGAACACACGCTCACAAGCATAAAAGAAGAATTGTAGGAGATATAAAGGAGATCAAGACGCACAGTGGGCAAAGAGTCCGTGAGTCGTGTCCTGGGTCTCTGGTCTGTCTGTCCCTTACCCAGATGGGACTGTGTCCTTTCTACTGCCATTTGCAGATCCCTAATATCTTTAAGATTTGTTTACCTCTATGTGTATGAGTATTTTGCCTGTATATTTGTATATCCATGTGAGTGCTTGGTACCCACAGAGGCCAAAAGAGGGCGCCTAGAACTGGAGTTATAGATTGTCGTGTAAACCATCTATAACTGGGTACTGGAAACTGAAGCAGGGTCCTCTGCAAGAGCAGCAAATGCTCCTAGCTACTGAGCCATCACTCCAGCCCGAGCCTTAGTATTTTCCTTCGCTTTCTAAAAGTTTTCTTCGGTGTTCCAGGCCTTTCCTTGTCATCTTCAGAATCTCTTGGATTCTTTATTAGCTTGATAGTACCATTTTAAAATGCCATGAACAAGGTCGTTTAAACAACAGAAATTACTGTTTCACTTTAATTTGGCAGGTGGGGTCCTCCGAGGCACCTTTTCTTGCCTTAAGGATACCATACCCTTACATGTCAGTTGTCTCTGTAAGGATACCATATCCTTACATATAGGTTCTTGTATCTGTACAGTCTGTCACATAATCTCCTTGGATCATGGTTCTTATGATCCTGTTACTTCCTTAAAGATGCTACCACATTCTGAAGTTTTTGGGATTAAGATACAGACAAATGGGGGCAATTCAGCTTCTAACAAGTGCCTCTAAAAGACATCCTGGGAAGGGCTGATGGGCACAGAACAGATCTTACTCTTAAGTGGCATTAAAATTCATAGGACAAACTGGGCATGATGGCATACACCTTTAATCCCAGCATTTTGGAAGCAGAAGCAAGTGAATCTCTATAAATTCAAAGCTGACCTGGTCTACATACTGAGGTCCATGCAGAAATAGAACCTCCCAGGAACATGTAAGTCAAAAATGCATGAAGTTCTTAGCAGTGTCCAGAGATGATGTACCAACAGCACCACCATGGTTGGCACCTATAAGAACAAGACAGAACAGCTGAAAAGTAGCCACCCTACCCTCAGTAGAGGTTGGCAGGCATGCACTGGAGTTTCAGTATGAGGGAGTCATCTAAGAATAATAATTTAGGCACCAAAGCATGAAGAAAGACCATCTCTACATGGGGAATGTTTGGTTTTAGACCCAGAACAAGGGACTGAGGTGCATATTTTATATACCAAAGCAGACCTGGCCTCCAGGTTCTCCCAGCATCCCTCAATCCCTGTCTGGCATACCCTGTCCCCAACCTTGACCTTTCTAGCCCAGGAGATGGGCTGCCCTTCCCCTAAAAGCGCCTCCCTATATAATCCAGACATTTTGAGCTCTCTCCTCTCTCTCCTTTCTACTCTTCTTCTCTCCTCTCTCCTCTCTCTGACCACACCTTTTCTCTTTCTCTTCTCGCCCCCACCCACCCACCTCTCCCCATGGTGACTCTCCTGGTCTCAATCATTTAGGCCAGTGAACTCACCCAAGAGCAGTCTCCCAATAAAGCTGCCTTTAATACAATCTAATCTGGTTTAAATTGGCTCATTTCACCAGCATCAAAGAAACAACCTATCAGGGGATACTCCAGAAGCAGAAGTAGGGAGGGTGGAGAAAAAAAAGAGTCCAAAAATGATTAACAGTGGTCAGTGCTAAGCAGAACTGCAGTGTAACTCAAATCAGGGACTGCTGCGTCTGAAGAGCATACACAACACGATGCAGAGGTGAGAAGCCATCTGAGGTGGGACTGAGTCTGCCACTTTAGCAGTCAAAAGTCCTTGGCATTATCCCGAGATCCACGAACTCCAAAAAAAGACTGCCTTGGACATAGAGTGCCAATCTAGAGAACTGGTCTAGCTACAGAGGAAAGGCTGCACAGTTACAAGCACAGTCCTACACAGTAGGGAGTCACTTTAAGTTAAAGAGAGAAATGGCAGTCGCTTCTGGGTCAGAGCCTTCAATCAGGGAAGCTGCTAAGAGAGCTCTCAGAAGAGGAGGGGCACTTTCTGCCATTAGATAGGGAGCTGAGCTGTGGGAAGCTGGAGGCCTTGAAGAGTAGGACATATTCAGAAGGCCGCATCCCCACTGGCTTCCCCACCCCACAGCCAGGCATTTGAAGATGCAGAAAACTAGGGGCCAGCTCTTGCAAAGTTTGTAGTCTGCCCTAACCTTGGGATTCAGGGTAACTGATAGAAGTTCTAGTTAGTAAGCAAGCACAACCAAGTTCATACAGTTAAGACATACAGCACCCGGCCCATACAACCTCTACTCTCACCGGATGATGTGAGCCCAGGTGGCCTCAGAAGAGCAGGTCAGCATAGGTCAGCATCTTTCATTGCTCTCCGTATGACTGACCTCTGAAAGGAGGAGAACCCTGTCCTCTTTAAAAAAAAAAAAAATCAGTACATTCCCCTTCCCCTCTCTTTAAGATAATTTCTTTGTGGTGTGTGTGTGCATGCACGTGTATATGTGTACATATGTGTAAAAATGCCCATAGAGGCCAGAAGAGGGTGTTCGATCCCTCAGAGCTGGAGTTACAAGAGATTGTGAGCTGCTTGATGTAGATCCTGGGGCTAAACTCTGGTCCTCGTGGTTGAGCAGTAAGTGTTTCTAACCGCTAAGTACAGTTCTCATAGTGTATGTTTTTTAATTTTTTCTTTAACGTATGTGTGGCTGTGTAAGTTTATGTAGACCTGTCAGCCTGGAACTAGATTTACAGGCAGTTGTGAACCTCTAAGGTGGGTGCTGAAAATCAATCCTGGGTTTTCTTCCAGAGCAGTAAAACTCTTAACTGCTGAGTCATCTCTCCAGCCCCTGACGTACTCGTTTGTTTGTTTGTTTGTTTGTTTGTTTCGCTTTTCTATACTTTTTTGATCAGCACAACCGGTTTAGGGCTAGGGATGCAGCTCTCTTTGTAAAATGCCTGCCTCACTTGCACAAAGCTCTGGGTTCTATCCGCAGTACCACACAACCAAACATGGTGGATCATCCCAAAAGGCTCTACATGAGGCCTATTTGCTGCAGGGCTTAACACAGTCTATCTCAAGTAAATCATTCACTTCCAAGGCTAGTTTTCTAGGCTCCCCCCAATCCCTATAAATGGGGGGGGGGGGGTCAAATGCTTTGTTCTCCTCTTCTGAGGCAGTTATGGCTGCTTTTCTTCCTTCGTCCATCAAGCAAGAGCATGTATAGGCAGATTTGGACTCTGTGATAACACTTTCTAATGCCCCGAAAGCATTTTTTAACTAATATTTTAAGAACTTCTGTGTCTATTCAAATACCAAGTCCTAAATGCTATTCTTGCCCCCCATGTGCACCTTGCAGCCTGTTCCAGTGGAAAGCCATCCCTCCTTGGTGTTTGGTGTTTCCTACTATGTCTCTGAGCCTCTTCTCTGCTCTCTTTAGAACACCCTCTGGGTGTAGAACCTGGGTGGATGACCGTTTGTTTCAAGGTCTTTGTCTCTTGCAGGATTCGGCCTTTGCTTTGTAATCCAAGCATCTCTTCTTCTCTCCCACCCCCAGGAACAAAAATGCTTTGATCAAAAAATTCCTTTCTAGTTGCTTGTATTCCTTTTTTACAGCATCCTTTTTAGTCGTCAACAAAGTGTCTGCTCTGGGCATTCTGAGTGTGTGTGTGTGTCGCCTGCGAGCGCACATGTTACTGTTTTAGGTTTCTCTCTGGATCCTTAAACCTCTTAGGTTAAGTTTTTATACCTCGTTACTGTTTTAAGTTTCCCTCTGGGACCTCAAACCTCTTGAGTTAGGTTTTTATACCTCGTTACTGTTTTAAATTTCCCTCTGGGTTCTCAAACCTCTTGGGTTAGGTTTTTATGCCTTGGCCTTGTTCTTGTGTTTTGCGGTGGGCTTTGAATGTCTAAGACACTGGTTTTTTGTTTTGTTTTGGGTTTTTTTTTTGTTGTTTTTTTTTTCCCTTCACATTTTAACCTGAAGCAGGGAAGCAAAAGAACACCTGGGAGTTCTCCCTGACTAAACTAAATGGGGCATCCACCAGCCTTTGGGCTAGGAATGGGAGGCTTTTCAACTTCACAATAAAAGAAAGCTCAAAACCACAGTGGCCTCAATGAGAAGAGCTCCATACAGTAAATACCCCTTCCTCTCCAGGTCTTGTTTCCACCCTTGAGGCTCCAAAACAGGCCTCAGCCAGTACAGGGTCACTCCCGGCAGCTCTGACTGTACTCTTGGGCCTTAGAAAGCAAGTCTGGTGCAGACGAAACCCCTCGTGACTGTCTGGAGCTGAGGTTATATATACACTTACCCTACAAAGGCAGGGAGACACTGCAACCAATCAGCTTGAAAATAAAGGGGGATTGGGTCTTCAGGGACCTATTTTCAGAAGGTTCAGGGAGGTCAGATCAACAAAGATCTAGTGTTATTGGGATCCACATGGCTGGAGATCAAACTGCCCAGAGGGCCATCTGGCAGGATGTTGGATGCCCCACATGCTTAGAAAGGCTGCCCAGTGGTCCTTACAGCTGGCGAAGAGGAGTAACTGGAGCTGAGGTTCCATCAGAAGAATGGGAAAGGAGGTAGATAATTCGTAAGAACCGTAAGAATTGACGCGGTGAGCAAGTAGGGAGAATGAAGAGGAAGAGGCCGTGAACAAGAACACACTGTATGTCCTGGGTGTTGGGACTAGTGGACATAGGGAAAAGAGATTTTGGGCAGGGCTGGAGGGTGGTGGGGCTGGGGAGGTGGAGGTGGGGGTGGGGATGGGACGGGAGGATGCTAGATGCAGTGCAGCGAGGATGGGGGCCGGGCAACGAGAAGGGCTGGGGCTTTGCTTTTCTGAGCTTTCAGTATCTCCTCCCTTCGCGTCTCCCGGGGCTGAGCCTCCGCGGCTGCCCGCCCCTAATCTTCAGGCGGAAGCTTCAGCAAAATCCAGTCGTGAGCTCTGCCTATGGAAAAGGGTTCTCGCCGCCGCACCTTTCCGCTTGGCCGGCCACGGCCTCTAAATCGCTCATCCGACCTAGACTTGTGACCAGTAAGTAGGGGAAGTGGATGAACCCAGTGATGCTGGAAAGGAGGGGGGCGGGGGAGAGGATCTGTGAAGGATGGAGTCACCACCCAGACTGCTGGTCCACGGCCAGCCCCAACCCATCCTGATCGGTTTACCTGCCCAGGCTGCTGACCTGAGCAACTCAAAAATGGTGGAGCCGGGGCGGGGAAGAGAAATAGTTACCCTGGGTCTGGGCCTGCCCAGCATTTCGCCCAACGTTGTTTGTTGTTTGCGTTGCAAGGAATTGCTAATCTGGATTCTGACCCCGCTCTCGCCCAGTGCATTCAGCCATAGCCAATGACTGACAGACTCTAGGAAGGCATCCAGAGATCCAGATGCCAGAACAAAAGTGACAAGGCCGTCCACTCTAACCATAATCCGGGTGTACAAAGGGCTCTGGATTCCAAACTAGAGTCCTTCACACACTAATCCATCCCCTTCCAGAGACTCGTGTGCAGAGCGGGGTTATTTGTGCCCCAACCCTCAAGGCCTGGGCTCCACCGCAGGAGCTCCGCAAACCCCATTCTGGGACCCATCTCCACCTTATCACAATAGTAAAACGGCAGCCCTGTTGTTGAATCCTTTCCCCACGACTCCATCTCCACCCGGTTATACAGCAGAAACCCAAAACCAAAGTCCTGGTGCTAGGGGTTAAAGAGCCCTTCCCCAACCCTGAGCCCAATGTCCTCCAAGATGCTGGGAGCCCTCTATCAGATTACCACAAAACCAGAGGCTGATGTCGGTGTTCCCAGGTCCAGATGAGCCTATTCCCAGACCTTGATACCCTCTTGCCCTGGCTCTAAGCCAAGCTCCACCCCTGCACAGAAGCTGAAGCCCCTTCCACCCTCTTCTCGCAGATTCTGTCCTGTAGGATGAACTGGACTGCTGCCACGTGCTGGGCTCTGCTGCTGGCCGCCGCCTTCCTCTGTGACAGCTGTTTGGCCAAGGGTGGCCGTGGAGGCGCCCGAGGCAGTGCCCGGGGGGTGCGCGGAGGTGCGCGCGGGACATCAAGAGTGCGCGTAAGGCCGGCGCCCCGTTACAGCTCCTCTCTGCGAGTAGCGGCTGCAGGGGCAGCAGCAGGGGCTGCGGCGGGTGTGGCTGCGGGCCTTGCCACCGGCTCTGGCTGGAGGAGGACTTCAGGGCCAGGAGAGCTAGGCCTGGAGGACGATGAGAACGGGGCAATGGGAGGCAACGGGACCGACCGAGGAGTCTACAGCTACTGGGCTTGGACTTCCGGCTCAGGGTCCGTGCACAATCCACGTATTTGTCTGCTTCTAGGAGGCACCCTTGGTGCCCTAGAACTGCTTCGGCCCTAGACCAGGCTAAGCTCCATCTCAGGTCTAGCTCCTAGTTTGTCTTAAGGCCCCTAGGGCCCACTCTAATGACTCCCTGGGCAGGAGGCCACTTCATTTTTGCTGACTATAATTCCCCAGCCCAGTTCTGGGCCCATAAGGCCTCTTGGAATTTGTGGATACAGTTTACTCTCTTGCCCATCCCAGTCTCCCGGTCTTCCACTTAGGCAGGAACTAGCAGCTCTACTACCAGAGAGGCAGGCTGCCCTCGACTCTCCTGAGTTGCCCAAGCAGGCATGCCTGTCTGCTTGCCCACCCCGACACAAGAACATTAACAATGCTGGCCACCAAGAAGAAGCGATCCTCGGGTGGGCCTGTCTGATTCTGCCACCAAAGCCCCAAAGACCTTGGGCCTCCTCCCATGGAAGCAGGGGGAGAAAACCACTTCCCTCTGGACTTAAGAGAGCATTCACTTGGACTGCAGTGTGAGAAATGTCAGGTGCTAACCACCTGCCCAGAGCAGGTCCTAATGATGTCATAGCTCAGAAGCATCCAGAGCAGGAAAATATCCATCCCAGGACACCCACTGTGGTTCCATACAACATGCTACCAAAGCCAAGGTAGTAGTATGTTTCTTCCTGGCAGACTGCCTAAGAGACCTTGTGTCAGAAGGGTTTTCCACTTGAAGCCACTTGGCCATAAGGTCCACTTAACTGTTCCTAAAATCCACTGAGGGTAGGGGTTTTGAATCCACTTTCAAAAACATTCCGTTCCATTTGAACTTTAGGTTCACAAGTGAGGGTCACGGGTACAAAACCAGTCCTGCTGGGGGCTTCTTTTTATATAACTCAAACTGCAAGATTACCAGTTCCAGTGGATGTCAGCACTTCATATTGGGAGACCCCTCCCTTGGAAATGGATGAACTGGAGGTGAGACAGATCATGGCACAACTGACAGCTGGCAGACTGCACAGTGGAGGGGGCAGCAGTTCTTCAGGTCCACTGCTTCCAGAAGAAAGCTAACAGACACAGAAGAACCAGCCTCAGCAGGCTGTGAGCATGGGTTAATGCTACTAGTTTTCTGACCATCCATATCCATCCTGAGAACAGAGCTGATGTGCTGAGTGGCCTCAAAGAGATACATTATAGTCCTCACAAGAATCTACCTTTGAGCAGACTGGCTTCTTGCTGTTTCAGGGCTCTCTAGCACATCTTTGCCAAATAGAGTAATGTGTCTCGGGACTCAGTCTATATATACAATGCTAGCTCAGCATACCTCTGGTTAGTATACAGGTTTCAAGGCTATTGGCAGGGCCCTAGCCAAGCATTTTCTTGGCCAACAAGCTGCAGAATGCAACTCCCTGCATTCACACTGCCGGTGCTCTTAGGCACAGTCAACCCAACTGCTCCTCTGTCCCTAATAGACCAAGCTCAAAACTACCAAGACCAGCAAGCTAAGGGCCAAGCCCACTATGGTCCTCAAAGACAGGTGCTGATGCATCAAGTCTGGTATAGGGAGAACCACCAGAGCCCCTTCAACTTGTCTAACATCCATGAGGATGGACTATATGGACCAGACCCTCATGTACCACAGAATACCATGTGCTAGTTCTTGGCATTATGGCATTATCAACATATCACTTTTTAATGATTATTTCACATTCACCAATCTGACTTCTCCAGAGTGTTCAGCATTTGACACAGCCACACAACTCTGAATACCTTCTCCACTAGCAGGAACTATAGATGCTGATGGAGAATCTCAGAGGAGACTTACTATACTGCAGCCATAGCAAGAGACAACAGTGGAAGGCTAGCCCCTGCTATCAGCCATCCACAAGAAGCAGAGACCCTGCTGAGCATCCAAGCACTGGGTCCAGCAACTGTGAAAAGCCCAGGCCAATACTGAACAGAAGAGACTAGAACTACTGAGCAAGGACAGCCCAGCTGGCCCAGCAGCACTTCCATCTGTATCAACCAACTCCTTGCCTTTTCTTTTTAGACAGCAAGCTGCTGGCAGCAACATCTTCTAGGTGAGTACAGGTACATGGAGGTCAGCCATGCTGGTCCATGCCCTCTGCACTGCTCCTGTAGCCACCATGGTTTCAATGGCTAGACATGATCCCCTTCCAGTAATCTTCTGGCCTGTACAAAGTTGAGCCTACAGCAGAAGGCCTCCTGTGGTACAGGCCCTGAAGTGTAAGAGGGGAGGACACTCCTGGACTTCACTGCTGTAAACCTCCTGTCTGTCTGCGCACTTTATCAGTGAGGAGTTCGTTGTGAAATAAAGCCCTCTGCTGGTAACAAGCTTCTCCCTCACTGCAGAACTTTGAGACACTTGAAAATCTGACTTAGGAACCCCAGTCCCCTAATCTACTAATCCCCAGCATTCATTGGTGGAAGGGTGATTTAACTTATGGGCTCAACATACTAAGTACACAATGAAAAAGCCATCATAAAATAGGTCTTTTCACTGGGTGTCATGGCACACACCTGTAAGAGGCTAAGGCAGGGGAAATGTATTTGAGACCAGCCCAAGCCACATAATGAAAACTTGTCTGAAAATGACAAAAAGATAAATAAAGTAAAATAAAATAAGAGAAGCCAGAGAGAGATTTTTCTTTTAAAAAAGTGGGCCTTTTAACCCATCTTTTTTAAATTACAGAGTATAACTTAGACTCCTCTGAGATAACACTAATCTCTTCTTGAGACTGAGAAAGCCTCCTGACCAAGCCACATATGCAGGACTCCTGGGGCCTGATGATAGTATCCAGGACTGACCAGACTCTAGTAGACAAGAGAATATAGTGCCCTTTGGAGCTGGGGCCTGAGTCTCAGGTGCCAGCACAGAGAGTTTCTTGAATTGGAAGAATAGTTCTAAGCATTAAACACTCCAGCTGTAGTCCTACAGAGTACACAGGAGACCATAATCCAGCCAGCCAGTCCAGGGGTTAATGTCATCAACAAGCAGGTATAACATCACGGTCCAGCATCACCTGGCCCAACAGCCCACTGCGGAAGGTCCGGAGGAAGTCTCGGGCTGCCATGACATAATCCGGCTGGATAACATTGACATTACCTGAGGACAGAGGATCTGATGAGAAAGGGGGCCCTAAGACAGCCCAGCCCTGAGAGACCACTAAGGCATCATCTGAAATCTAGGGAACAGGACATGTCTAGAAAGAACACAGGTATCATACCCACTCAGCACTGTCCAGAGCTAGGACCACCCTCTGAAGCCTATACTACAAAGTCCTTTCTCCCTAGAAAGTCCCATAGTGCTCTGCCCACAGATTTCCTTCTGTGTCTCACTCCTGTCCCCACAAGGAGCCAAGAGTCCCAACAGAAGACAGAATAAGGGCCTCATGCCATACCATGCAGCCTCACTCACCTGTGCCTGTGAGAACCTTCACTTTCCGTGTCTTCCCCAGCTTGATAGCCATGTTCTTCAGCACCCACTCTATTTGGTCACAGGCATTGGCCAGGGCATAGTGCTGCACATACCTGGAAGCACACAGCTCAGGTCAGACTTCTGAGGCTCCAAGCCTGAGAAGGATTCGCACTCACCCACATCTCAAATGAGCCAGCTCCTGGGTTCCTGGGAGGATCAGATTACTTCCAGGCAATTTAGTGCTCTAGAACAAGGCTCACAGATTCTTACAGAAAAGTAAAGACCTATCAATGTAAAATTCAAATGCCTGGCACCCCTCACCAAGACAGAAGTGTCCACAGATAGACACACATACAACATGGATTTCCAACAAAGGCAGAAGGACAATTTAGTGAAGAAGTCTTCAATAAAAATTTCTGGACAACTAGTCATCCATGTGCAACATTAAGAACTCACAGTTGCACCATACACTAAGCATATGCTAATGCATAGTGGAGGAGGGTCCTATACCTACATGTGGAACCTAAGCTGCCACTCTCCAAGGAAAGACAAAATTCTGTGGCCTCAGGCCAGGCATATTTCTATATGAAGCAGCACCATTATAAAGAATACTGTTACTAAGTCAGACTTCCAAAACTTACAGTATTAACAGAAGAAAAGGCAAGCCTAGACTACTGAAAACCTTTGTATAGACCTTATCACTAAGAACAGGTAATGTGGTGCAATTTAAAAATAAGAAAATGGGTTGGGAGGTAGCTCAGTAGCAGAACATATACTTGCTGTATTCAGTCCCAAGTTCAATCCCCAGCATCAAAAGAGAGGGGCCGGGGGAGAGGGGAGAGAGAAGGCCAAATATGGTGGTACATGCCTTTAATCTCACATGCAGAAGGCAGAGGCCAACAGATCTTTGTGAGCTGCCTGGGCTATGTAGGAGACCCTGTCTTAAAAACAAAAAGGGATGGTGGTCTGGAGAGATAGCTCAGTGGTTAAGAGCACTTACTGTTCTTCTAGAGAATCTGGGTTCAATTCCAAGTGCCCACAAGATGGCTCACAACCAATAGTAATAACAGTTTTGGGGGACTGGATACCCTTTTCTGGCCTCCATAGGCACCAGGTAAAACAATCACACATATAAAATAAAATTTTTATTTTATTTTTCTAGGAGATTTATTTTTTTTACTTTATCTGAGTACAGTGTTGCTCTCTTCAGACACACCAGAAGAGGGCATTGATCCCATTACAGATGGTTGTGAGCCACCATGGGTTGCTGAGAACTGAACTCAGGACCTCTGGAAGAACAGACCATCATCCAGCCATCTCTCCAATCCCAAAATAAAATTATTAAATGAGAAAAATATTTAATGGACATTTTCCCAGAGAAGACACATTGATGGCCACATAGACACAAGAAAGGTTGTTCAGCATCACACTAGTAGGAATGTATACCAAACACTGCAGACTGTGTGGTCAGGGCTGAGACGGACAGAGGCTAAGAGCACTGCTGCTCCTGCAGAGGATCTGGCTTAGAGGCTCAGCACCCACATGACTGCTCACAACTGTCTATCATGCCAGGGCTAGGAAATGTGATGCCCTCCTCTACAGGTGTCGCATGTACATGGTATACAGACATGCAGGCAGGCAAAATTCATATACACTAAATAAAATCATTAACCCAAAAGTATAAAATAAAAGACTAGTCACAAGTGTAAAGAGGATTCAGAAAAGCATGGACCCCTGTTCTCTGCTAGGTAGTGTATGGCACAGGTCAACGCTCTGGAGAACAGCTCGGCAGTTCTGTAGGACACTAAAGCTCACCATTACCGAGTGGCTCAGACATTCTCCTGCATTTTACCCAAGACAAGAAGAAACCCACAATGAGTTAAGACTATACATGAACATTTCCAGAAGCTTTGTTTATAGCAGCCAAGAACTACACACACCCCATGTCCACCAGGGTGACGAGATAAGCCAAGTGCAGGATATCTGGGTGACAGACAATGAGCCGAGCCACCAAAAGGCATGTAGAGCATGGGAGACTCAGAACACTCGCGCTGCCCAGGAAGGGAAGCCGGGTGAGAGAGGGGGTTTCCTGTGGAACTTCACTGACATAATGCTCATCTTCTTCACTCACCCACAGGGGCTTAGGAAAGCGACAGAGTGAACAAGGGTCAGGATGCATATGTAGCCCAGCTGGTCTCAAATGTCTGATCCCCTCTCTCGAGCATCACAAGTACTAGGATTTGGGACATGGACCACCACACTCAGCATGTCCGATATTCTTTGGTGACAATATGATGTGGTCATATATCAAAACTTATCAAATCACACACATACCTTAATGACATATTTCTAAAATCATACCTAGACAGAATGAGCAGGCAGGGAGCTGCAACCCCCATACCCACTGCCACTCACCCAAATAATCCATGCCTGTTGAGGGTATAAAGGAGATAATCAGCCATCATCTCTTCCCCAACAAGGTGGTCCAACACAGTTCCTGCAAGACAAGCAGCTAATGCAAGCCCATGGTACAGTGGGCATCTATGCCTCACCAAGCCTGACTGCCCCAGTTGAAGGCAGAAGGCCTCAAGCTAAGGAACCTCCCGGCAGGTTGGCTCACAGCTGTCCTTCTTCCTATATGGCATGGGACCCAAGCATGACCTCTCTGTCTACCCCTACCACAGGGCAGAATGGTAGCCAGCACATGCATGCTGTGAGCTAGTATCCCTCTCAAAACTGTGCAAAGCATCTGGTATCAGGAAGGGTGAAGGGAGTAACAAGTCCACCTGCCTAGGGGACAGTTAAGGTCAGCAATGGGGCAGAGGCTTACCACACAGGGCCAGCTTCAGGCCTGTCTCCACACTTTCAATCCGAGGAGCCAGCACCCCAGGAGTATCCAGCAAGAACATCAGTGGACGCTCGCATACCTGTGCAGCAGAAGGTGGATCAAGTCAGGGAGCCTGTGCCCAACAGCCAAATCATTGCCAGAGACTCTGAGGCAGGCCTCTGGATAAACCCACCACATAGGTTGTCCTTTGCACTGCAGTTTAGAAGCCTCATAGGGTATAGTTTCTGCTTAATCTGAAGAACAAATAAAAGCCCAAGGTCCATGGAAAATAAAAAGGAATACATGAGTGTGGCTCTGGGAAGAAGGCTGCCTTTCTGATGGATGTCCATAGGGACAGAGCAGCACTGGCAGGAACATGAGGGGAGGGAAAGGAAGGAGGTCAGAGGCAAAGCCAATGCCATGCTCAGTGAAGCTAGACTCAGCAGAGCCTGCAAAGCTCTGGACAGAGCTCTGGGCTCAGCTACCAAGGACCCTACCTGGATTCTGGATGTCACAGCTCTTGTGATTCCTGGCAGACCACCCACTCTGGCAGCTTTTCCTGAAAAGACACAAAGAGTCCATCAAATAGTTACATACAGCAATAGGACAAGGAACAAAAGGTATTTCACTAACATATCTGACAAGCAAACTGGAAACCCAGAGGTCAGTAAGTTTGTCAAATTATAATTTGTTCCTTACTCAGTCTCAAAGAACACATAGCAAAGGTTTTCAAAAGCTAGTCACAGTGGCCAAGGGCTGACAAATATCCAGAGCTCACTTCCCAGTGTAGAAAGGTACACCCTGATGTAAAGGTCATATACCAGAGCTACTCCTCTACCTCAAAGCCTCTCCTGGACTCCCCTACTCTACAGCACTACCCACAGCAGGCAGGCCAGCACCATCCTTGATCCCAACACTGTGGTTGCCTGGCATGGGACCCAGCCCAGAGTACCCCTGGGAAGCTAACTATTCACTTTCAAACCACCACAGAAATAAAAGGATAAAAGTGTCCATCATTAATGACCAGAGGAATAAGAATAGACCGTGGAGTAACTTGTACCTATGGAGAAAGGAACTGCTGATAAAATCCCAACAGAACCAAACCTAGATCATTCTACTGAGACAAGCCAGTCCTAGCACTCTATTGACACAGTTGGACAGAAACAGAACAGGGCTGCCAGGCACTGGGGCAAAAAACAGGATGATATGCTTGAAGTTTGGGTCTCAGGTAATTTAAAGTTTGGGTAGTGGCGATGCCGACACGACCCTATAAACAAACTTCATACCCCTAAACAAAGAAGATGCACACTTAAAGGAAAAGAAGCTTAAAAAATTAAATGATTGTGACAGCTCTCCAAGTAACACCCAAACAGCCCCTTTCTAAAATGATACAACATGATTTACAACTGTTGGCCTTTACACTATAAATGGGTTTTGTTGTTGTAGTCTTGTATTGTGTTTTGGAGACAGGGCTTCTGCCTCTCTGCCTCTGCTTCCCAAGAGCTGGGATTAAAGGCATGTGCCACCACATTTGGCTTTGTTAAAAAATAATAATAATAAAGTTAATAAAGACTGTACAGTTGGTGCAAAAAAATGAACCCAATATAAATTTATCCCAAAGTCTAAAATACATACAATGTCAAGAGTGTGTGAGAGCACAGTGAGTACACACTGAGTAGCCAAGGGCTGTTCACCACACAGACCACCATCAGACCATGAATTGTCCTTTTACCTAACGAACTAGGCCACAAGATATGGAAGAAATGCCACAAAGCAACATAGGGCTGGCCACACTCTTCCACTGCCCTCTAGGAGTGGAAGTCAACAGCAGATATTACCTACCTGTCCTGAGGTGCTGCCGCCTCAGGGAGTTAATGAGGGAGGATTTGCCTACATTGGGGACACCGACCACCATGATGCAGTATTCTGGGTTCTGTAGAAGCAGAAGAGTGTCAACTTTATTCCACGCAGGTTGTGAAGCCACAGCCCAGGGGAAAAGGACATCAACATGAAGGCCCTGTGCTGACCAGCAGGGTGAGCCCAGCGTTTTCCACTAAAGAACAGTAAAAACAAAGGCTGGCCCTGGCTGGGACACAGCCCAGTCTTCTGTATTAAAGAAGGCTCAGAAGGGCAGTCAGGAAGGGACTGGGTAACTCCACATACCCACCCCCAGCACTGTGCCCCACCAACCTCTGCTCGGTGGTAGCGGTAGCTGCACCTGATCAGTTCCGTGACTTTTGGGACAATCTGTAACAAACAGGCCACATCTTCTGGTCATACATCCCTCACCGACCCACATCCAAATAACAGGGTCAGTGAACCTGTCCTTATACTGACCCCTTGCTTAGGTAGAGACCTCACACACATACCTCACCACACATCCAGATCATGGGCATCCAACTGTTCAACAGCCACAGCTAACTGGGATTCCTCCACCCACTCCCAACTCAACACATACACACACACACACACACACACACACACACACACACACACACACGACACAGGAATGTGGCTACCTCGGAGGGCTCTTCTTACAGCAAGTATAGCTACCTACTAGACATTCCACACATCAGCTCATGGGGTTCCATGAAAACAACTGGGAAGATAAGTTACTGGTTCTTCAAAAGGCTTTGATTACTTAGAACCCCAGCAGACTCCCTCAAAGCCCACTCAGATTGTGGGCACAGGAAATAGGCAGCCCCGGAGATCCTGTGCCCTGAGCAGCTAAAGCCAAGTCCAGGATCTTATCCCAAATGTTTAGCCACTAACATATACAGAGATTTACCTGCTTGATGTTGTCATCCTTTACACAGTTCGTAAAAATAACATTTTTCAGGCCTTTTTCTTCTAAATGCTGGACAATTTTCTGAAAGACACATTTCTATTTTAATACTAAATAGAATTAAAATGTAAATACTAAATTAAATATGAATGGTATGCCAGGAATGGTGGTACATGCCTTTAATCCCAGTACTACACAGAAAGACCCTGTCTAAAATAAATTAAAAATTAAAATGTGTGTGTGAGAGAGAGATCAGGGCAGGAGAGATGGCTCAGCAGTTAAGCGCACTGGCTACGCTTCCATAGGACCAGGTTTGATTTCCAGCACCCTCCTGGCAGCTAACAATAGTCTGTAACTCCAGTCCCAGGGGATTTAGTGCCTTCTTCTGACCTCCACAGGCACAGCATAAGTGTGGTGCATAAACACAGAAGCAAGCAAAACACCCATTTACAAAAAATAAAAACAAAGATTAACAAACAACAGCAAGTAAACACTCAAACATACACACACATATATACACATTATATATTTTATATGGACGTATATATGGTGTGATAAATAAAACTCAAGCTTCTGAGCTTGGGGCCAATGAGATGGCTCAGCTAGTAGAGGTACTTGATGCTAAGCTGACAACCTGAGTTCAATCCCCACAGTGGAAGAAAAGAACTGACATCTCCATGTTGTCCTCTGACCTCCAAATGTATGCCATGACACACGCATACCCCCACACGAAGTAAATGAATGATAAATGTAAAACAGAAAACCAAAAACAACCAACATGTTTTTTTAAAAACGAATCTGGTTGGCCTGGTGACACCTGCCTTTAATCCTAGCACTCAGAAGGCAGACACATGTGGATCTCTGTGAATTTGAGGTCACCCTGTCCTGACACAACACATTCCAGGCCAGCAAGGATTACAGAGTGAGACCCTGTCTCAAAAACAGATTTTAAAAAAAAAAAAAAAAGTAAGGCTAGAAGCTTGAGAAGACGCTGTAGGCGCACTCTGCTCCACAACAGCTTCAACTCTGGGAGCCCAGCAACGAGAAGTGGATGCCAGCAAACACAGCAAAGAGCCTCAGCTCTGAGGAGAGGGACTCTTAACGGAGACAGCAGGAAGAGCCCTAGGGCAGGCATAGCCGTGCTGTGTGTGTACCTCAGGCTCTGCCAGCGAGAACACGACGGGACATGGCCTGCTCACAGGGACTTCAGTGCTCCTGGGATAAAGTGGGACTGACCAGGTCACTTGGAAGCCTCTTCAGCACCAAGTTCACCAGTGCTGGCTTCTCTGAGGAATCCATCACTTTCATGTCCTCTATCATATAAGACCCCCTTGGGAAGAGGAGGGAAAACTGAAGCAAGTTTTCACTATGTAGCCTTGGCTGGCCTGGAATTCACTATGTAGACCAAGCTGTCCTGGATCTCATAGAGATCTGCCTGCCTCTGCTTCCCATGTTTTAGCATAAAAGGGGTGTGCTACCATGTCCAGCATGGGACTTCACTGTTAACTGAAATGGTATTGAACTCAATCTGATTATAGAAAATAAGTTGTGCCAAAAGTACATTAGAGCTGACATAGGGTCATTAGGTTTAATATTCAATATAATCAGTATACATACTTACTTTATATTCACATCTATCAATATGTGTTGCAACTCACGATTGTGTTTTGTCATTACTAACCACAAAGCATAGTAAACACTTAAATAAGCAAAAAGTAATTCACTAATGCTGTCAGTTTTCAGTTATTCGTCACATATGATATAATTAAGATACTTGCCTCGAGGGGGCTGGGAAGGTGGCTGAAAGGTTAAGAGCACTGGCTGCTCTTGCAAGTTTGGTTCCCAGCACCTATACAAGTCACAATTCCAATACCAGGGGATCCCTCTTCTGGCCCCTGTGAGCACCAGGCACACATGTATATCGCACATACATACATATATACAGGCAAAACACTCATACACAAAAACAAATAAATCTTTGAGGGAAATAAAAATGGTACTAGCCATGACAGAAACATACTGATCTCTGTTCTCAAACGTCTCTCTAGTACAGGCTGTGGGTGTGGGGCCTAAGGTCCTTTGGAAACCTATGTCTGCCCAGTAGAGGGCAGTATACGCCAGTCTGTATAGACTAGCATGTGAAGTTCTGAAGCAATCCTAAACAGCTCAAATCTCAACTAATAAAAACCAGGGGAAGCCACTTAACTATTAAAAAAAAAAAAAAAAAAAAAAAAAAAAAAAAAAAAAAAAAAAAAGACACAATGCAGAAGCGAGAAGCTTGTGTGTAACAAGCGGCGCTGGAGATCAGCTCTCGAAGCCTCGAGGAAGGTGCCGCCATTGGGAACCGCCCTGGATATCCTCCCGACCTTTCATAAGAGCTGTGGATCTTCAGTAAAGGAAAAATGTCTGCGTCATTAACAACTTTCTAAAATCTGGCTTGAATTCAAGGCTCTGACATTCCTCTTTCCAAAGGATTTGACAACACAGTGATAAAAAGTAAAGTCAAGACTTCAATAGCATTCTCTGACTTCACTTTTTACTTTCAGGCCATGTAGAAAAAATACACTGCCCTGGGACCCAATTCTGCCTGGATTTAGAGCAGTGATTCTCAACCTGTGGATTACGATCCCTTTAAGGTTCGAATGACCACAGGTGCCACCTAAGACCCTCAGAAAACACAGATATTTACAGTCCCTAACAGTAGCAAAATTACAGTTATGAAGTAGCAATGGAGTAATTTTATAGTTTGGGGTCACCACAATGTGAGGAACTGTATTAAAGGGTCGCATCATTAAGAAAATGAGAACCATTGTGCTAAACACTGTTAGGTACTTTGGGCTTTTCATATCCCAGTTCCACACCCAGCCCTTCCAGTTCCCAGAACACAAGGTGTGCAGAAAGCAACGAGCGCCAGAAAACCTGAGATCAGACTGGGTACATAGTCAGCTAGGGACACTGCAGCTGCCACAAGTGAACTCTGGGCTATGTACATCAGTTCTGTGCATCTCCCAGTTAGTTAGAGCTAAGTAAAATGTACTCAGTCCCTTTGCTTCAGTGGTCACATGTGCCCACAAGGGACATAGTGGACAGAGCATCCATCAGAAAGGTTGAGGGTACAAAGTGGCTACAGTGGCCACCAGGAGTCTCACAACACACCAACCCACTTCCCACAAGGGGGTGTGCCCATCTTGAGCATTTGGGCATTTCCTTCATACTGAGAGAAACAGCTGTTGCTAAAAAGCCAGGCCAGATGTCTCCATCAAAGCCAGGAGCTGTTTTAAAGTATAGGCTACCTGGGGGCATAACAGACCTCCTCTGTGTCTGCGGCTCTGTCACACTGCTGCTGGCATCAGTAAAGAGGCACTCACCTGCTGCTCTGTAAGATCCGCCAAGTCCATTTTGTTAAGGACAAGCAAATGTGGCTTCAGACCAAGTAGCTCTTGGAACAGAGGGTTTCGACCTGAAAATGGGATGTGTTGATGATGTTAAGGCATAATCCCTACAGAGCTTTACCAGTGGTTATTCCACCAGGAGCTAAAGCCAAAGGAAGAAGCCCATCTCAGAGCAAGTGTGATCATACAACTCATCTTCCTACCCCCACACTTGGGAGGCCAACCCTCATGTTGCAGCTTGTGACGGGTGCAAGTCAGGCAAGGCATTGTCACCTATTTCCCAAGCAGATGGTGGAAAGAACAAAACCAAAGTTCAAAGAGAAGTCACTGTTTGGATGCCAAGGAACTTAAATGTAGAGTGAAATGGCCGGAACACCTAAGAAACTGACTCCTGTGAAATCCTACCCAGATAACCTCGAGCACCACCCATCCTCGCTGGAGATGCTGCTTCCCACAGCTATCCTCAGCTACCCCAGACTGATGTGGGACTCCACCATGTGACTCTAACACAAGCAAGATGGGGCTTCTTATCTCTACATTCTGCCCCTTTATCCCTCCAGTAGGAACTAGTTCACAAGTCCTAAGGCCTCTGCCTATTTCATCTGGCACCCAGTTAAGCTGCTACCTCCATCTAGATGGTACTTCACAGCTGACCAATCCATTCCAAGTCTCCAGGCTCCTCTCCTAAAATGCTACAGAAACCACTATCTAGCACAGACCTGCTGCCACATCCTAGACTCAGTTAAGTGTTCCAGAGACTAAAGGAGAACAGTCCTCTCATCATATATGCTGGAAAATAACAATGTTTTACTTTTTAACAATCAATACAGGCAGGAATGGTGGGCATAACTTTACTCCTAGCACACAGATCTATGTGAGTTCCAGGCCATCCTGGTCTACATAGTGTGCTCCAGGCCAGCCAACACTACACTCTGAGACCCTATCTCAATAATGATGGTGATGATGATGGTGGTGGTGGTGGTGGTGATGGTGGTGGTGGTGGTAATGATGGTGGTGATGGTGGCGGTGGTGGCGATGATGATGGTGGTGGTGATGATGGTGGTGGTGATGGTGGTGGTGGTGATGATGATGATGGTGGTGGTAGTGATGGTGGTGGTGATGTCACATCTGGCAGCATTTGATAGTAGGTGAGTAGACATACGTAGCCTAAAACAAATACACCAGATGTACTGTTGCTAAAGTTCCAACTCTGAAGGCTGAAATAGTTCCTATTCTCCATTACTATTTCCAGAAACTCCCACCAGTGGCAGCAGGTCCCTACGCCCACCACCAGCTGTTCCAGGGACCTGGTGGTCTGACATCTCCATGCTCTTCTAAAGCTAAGTAAGCAGAATGAGGAAGAACTCACATGCCAACAGAAGCCAAACACAGTTTAAATGCAACAAAATGATCTGAGAAGCATGTGTCAATGGACATGAGCATGACTTGCCAATTCTTCACTTAAGGACAAGAGGAAAACCCAGGTTGGCAGGACCATTTAATTAATGGCAGGTTTCATAATTTACCCCTAAAAATATCAAAGTAAACCAGAGGCTGAGACAAATAATGTATCAGATGGGAGCTTAAAAATAAAAACGCCCAGTCTAGACCCCACCCCGAGATTCTGATCTAAAACAGGCCTAGCTATTGATGTAAAAGCCTTCAAGGAACTCTGGTGTGTAATGAGAATTGGAAAACACTGCTTTATGTCGCAGTAATTACAAAAGAAGCTGACACAGCTGTAGACATATGACTGGACCAGAGGCAGAACAGCCTAGACTGCCCAAAGGAGATGGAGAGGAACCAGGAAAGCATCCTGCTTCTGCCTTTACAGTCAAGCAGAGGTGCTACCCTACAACGTAAAAGGATATCCGGGCGTCATGAACCTCGATAACACAATCCACAGACTTCAGACTGCTCTGCATCTTCTTTAGTCCTAGAAGATAGAGAAGGGCACTAAGGGCACAGCCAAAGAGGGCAAATTTAAGTTCTCCTAAGAGAATACATTTGAGAACCCATCAGCACACACAGGGATAGAGGAGGCAGCAATCTGAGCCAAGTTCCGGGGTGCCCCAGATGGTTCTGGGAGGAACACTTCACATATAATGGTCTTGATCAGGAAGTTCCTGATACTGTGCTGACTTAATAACCTCAACGCACAAAAACACTGAGGCTCCGCCCCGCAACTGGCACCTGCCCACTCACACTCCTGGCGCCTTTCTGTCACACACTATATAATCTCACATGGTAGTAGCAGCCAAGACCACAGCAACCAGCAGTCCGGGGCCGTACTACGTCAACGGCTACCTGGGGCCAAGTTGTGACCTATAAACTCAGACATCAGCATGCTTGTAACTTCAAGGGACCACTCAGTGCGACTCAAAGTATCAAGCACAAAACAGCTCTCCAACCCGATGCCAGGAAGGCGAACAAAGGGACCGCCAGGACCGGCGCCCGTGCCGCCTGCAGCCCCTGCTGGCCTCACCCTTGGCCATGTGGCCGGGGAACCAGCGTGCTACATCGTGACCTTGCAGAGGGAAGCACTCGCGCCAAGCGCCCCCGACAGCACTCCATGCCTGCGGCCACAGCCTCATGTCGCTGGTGTCGGAAGAGTTCGCAGACGGACCGCCTCCGCCGGGGCCCGGCTCTATTCCTAGGGTTCCGGCGTACCTGGGTTCCGTGTGCGACTGCACATGCGCCTGACTCGGAGCACTCAGTAGCGAGCAGAAGCGCTGTGTTGGGGTTGGCCGAGTGCTGCCTCATTCTCAGGATTCCTGAGCTTATGTGAAGTTCTTTTGAGTAATCTGAAGATATTTTCCTTTTTTTTTTTTTTCTTATTTTGGAAAGATGTTATCCGTTTTTTTTTTTTTTTTATTTGTGCTTATGTTGTAGTGGTGAACACTTTTTATCCCAGCACCAGAGAGGCAGAGGCAGGCAAGTGGCTCTCAGTGTGTGAGACCAGCCTGGTGGATTCCAGAGCCAGCACTACATGGTAAGACAGGAAAAACAACAACAAAAAGACTCAACTTTATTTATATTTTTTTATTTGAAGTGTCTATGCCATGTGTTTGCGGATCCTCTGGACCTGGAATTACAGGTGCTTTGAGTAGTTTGACTGGGTGCTGAGAATTGAACTTCAGTCCTGTGCAATAGCAGCAATCACTCTTAACCTCCAAGCCATCTCTCCATTCCCAATCTGGAGATTTTTCACTACATTCCAAATATTTCAGGTTTGAGGATATACCATGGAAGATGACAGCTGGCCTAGCATACCCAAAATTTGGGCTGCTGGCAGTGAAGATGTGGCTTCTCCATGGTGGGGAATTGGCCTAGAAATTTAAACTTAAAATCTAGGCACATTTTTTTTCTTCCTTTTGAGATAATATCGCTCTTTGTAGCCTGCTCTACGAAGACTAAAAAGAAAACTTTAAATTAGAAGTCTCAGTCAAGGCTGGGCAGTGGTGGCGCAACGGCTTTAATCCCCGCACTTGGGAGTCAGAGGCAAGCGGATTTCTGAGTTCGAGGCCAGCCTGTTCTACAGAGTGAGTTCCAGGACAGCCAGGGCTACACAGAGAAACCCTGTCTCAAAAAAAAAAAAAAAAAAAAAAGGTCTCAGTCAGGTGTGAAAACACACACTAGTAATCCTAGCATAGGAGAGATGGAGGCTAGAGGGTCAGGAGTTCAAGGTCAGCCTGGGCTACATGAGGCACTAAAAAGTAAGGTCTTCTTTCACCCTCATATACTCATATAAATCAATGTAATGAAATTTAGTTTTCCCCTATCAGTTCTTGGGCCTTTCTTGGGCCTTTCTTAGAACTTTAAAGTGTTTTACACACACACACATTTTCTTTTCAAGTGTGACATTTTAATGTAACTGCTTTAAATACTGACTATATTCCCATTAATACAATGAAAGTAAAGTGTTCTTCATAGCTGTAAGACTAAATCCAGCCGCTCCTGGTGGAACAGGCCTGTGATATCAGCTAAGGATGGTGGAGGCCAGGGGAAGCCAGGCATTAGAAACTACCCTGAGAGAGACACTATCTCAAATAAAAAGGGCTGACATGTAACTCAATGTTGTAATTGTTCCCTTGAGTGCAGGAAGCCTTAGGTTTGATTCCCAGTACCACTATCACCCCTAGACCCCCAGACAAACACACACTATAAGTCCAGCACTTGTGAGACTGAGGCAGAATAGAAAGTTCAGAGCCAGCCTGGGCCAGAGATGTTGTCTCAAAAGGAAAATGGGGGAGTGGGGTGGGGAGATGGGCCCAGATTTTAAGTTTAAAGTCCTAGGAATGTCAGGCCAATTCCCCACCATGGAAGAGCCCCACCCCATCCCTAGCAGCTCAGATCCTCCTGGCCTCCCTCCCTGGAAAGCCTGTTTCCCCCACAGAGTCACTCCTCTGAAAACTGAAACGTGTCCCTGAGTGTCAAAAGCAGAGACTTTTGCCCTTGAAAAATCTGTTTTCTCAGTCCTCAAGCTATGGACTACAATAAAAACCTGCTGGAGTTTGGCTTTCTCCCATGGTGTCACATGAGCAGTCTGGTGACATTAAAACAGTAAGTGTTCTTATATGTTCTTATGGTATGTTATATTAACATGCTTCATGACAAACTGCTGGGATGGGGCTAGGACAAGCCTTGAAGACCTGAAGGAGGAGGAGCCACGCTGAGAGCTGGACTGTGAGTGAAGAAGCAAGCCTAGAGCTGTTTCCGAAGTGAAAGCATAACAGATGCAAGCAGGAGGGCTTGCCCTCAGCCCTTCCAAACCTGGGCCAGTGACAGTACCATGTTGTGCAAGGATGGAACAAGGGTCTCTGCAAGTTCCTCTAGCTCCCTCTGGAGCTCCAGCCTTTTGAGACAATATCTCACTAGATAGGTTGGCTGTACCAGCCTCTCCAGCCTCAACCATCTCCAGAGGAGATGTGCAAGCCCTGTGAGAGCTGCAACATGAGGAAGTGAATATGTCTAAGTGTCCTGTCTCCTCTGTAACAGGAGCAACAGACCTGTCCTCTGCAGCCGCTGTGGAGACAATGAGACTAGACTGCAAAATATCCAAGAGACCTACCCAGCACACTCCTCACATCCACCCCACACACCCGGCTCCCCAGCACCCTTACTCTATATTCTCTCATTCCCCACAACCGCCTTGTGTTTGGCCAACCTACTCCACAGTAGTTTTTAAGTCTTCTTTTTATTCTTCAGCTTCTCCCAAAACCCCAAGCCAGGTCAGCCTCACCCAGTCTTCTCAGTTCTACATGCTCATTTAGCCTACCAGTCTAGGACACCTGACATCGATCCCTTAATGATCAAAGGAGGATTCATCAGCCATGGTCCTGGACAGCAGCTGTGGGAACTCTGGAAACGCCTTCACTATTTATTTTATCTATGTGTTCTCTCCCTCTCCCTCTCTCCCTCCCTCCCTCCCTCCCTCCTTCCCTCCCTTTTCTCTCCTCCCCCCCCCCTCTCTCTCTCTCTCTCAACACCTGTGTGCCAGAAGAGGGCATCAGATCCCATTACAGATGGTTGTGAGCCACAATGTGGGTGCTGGGAATTGAACTCAGGAACTCTGGAAAAGCAGTCAGTGTTCTTAACCACTGAACAATCTCTCCAGCCCCCAAAAATGCCTTCACTAACAGGACAAAGGGCAACCATGGTCCCTAAAGCCCAAAGAACACAGAGATGATAGCCATGAACTAGGGATGGAAGGGGCAGAGACAGGACCTGGACTGGGTGGGGACAGGCTGAGAACTGGACATAGTATGAGAAGTACTCTACACACAGGCAGTGTTAACTGCTTTATGTATACAACATTTAGCAGGACATCCATGATCAGACCAAGCCAGACTCCACAGATATGTGAAACAAGACCATTTTCCCAAAATTAAAGTTACCAATAAGATCCCCAAACCTCAAACCAGACTGAGCACTTGGTCAGCCCAAGTGGTAGAGCAGAGCAATAGGCACTCAAAGCCTGGGCCGGGACTGCTCCACCTGTGAGTCCCACAGACCAATGAGGCGATCAGCTTCTCTCCAGCCAGACAGGAGGGCCCCATGTGTGGTAGAATAAAATGTCCGATGTGTGGCTTCCCCAGCAAAGAGTACCTGCAGCTGCAGAAAAAGATTAAGTTAGAACAGGGATGCAAGTGGAACAGCTGTGGAGAGATATGCAGAAAACAGAGTCCCTGCCCATCCATGGGCATTTACAAATGGGCAGAAGCCAACACTGCCCATGCCAGGCAGGTGTGAATACTAAGAAACACCCAGGTGGTAGGTCCCTCAACTATGATCACAAGAGTTGCTAAACTACCATGGGAGAGTGCAGCTAAACCAAAGAGTGGTGATAAGTCACTGCCTACAACTAAAAGTGACGTGGCAATAAACAAGCTGACAGGGACCATGAGATACCTGGCAAACTGAGCAGTGAATGCCAGGTGATACCGAGTAACTGTCTTAGAGATATGCACTGAAATATCTACATGGATAACTACTCAATAAGTTAAGGGACAGTGGGTAGATTCTGCTCACTGTGGTGGAGGGTAGAGGGTAGAGATAGAGGAAGGGGACAGCATCCGCTGCTCTACCTGCTTCTCTACAGTTGATGGTTTCCATAATTAAACTGTTTTGAAATGGTCTCACTATGTGCTTCTGGCTGGACTGACTCATTTCATATACCAGACTAGCCTAAAATCTATAGTGATCTTTTTAGCTGGGATTACAGAGGCCTGAGCCACTGGGCCCACCCAGACTTTTGATATTAGAATCAGGTGGAGAGTTGGAGGAGTGTCAGTCAGTGGTAGAGTGCTTGCCTGGTGTGCTCAGGGCTTCACCTCCCAGGCAAAAGAAAGAAAACAGCTGGAAGCATAGTCTGGGGAGAACACTGTGTCCCTACTGGATACTTCATTTTTATTTCTGTAGACAGCACTGTAGAGTTCCGTAAGCCATAGGTATGTGTAATTCTGATACAAATAACAAATTTTAAGTTCTTAGCTTGGGTCTGAGTTTGTTGAGACATAGTCTTACTAGCCTTGGCTGGTCTGTAACTTGTTCAATAGACCAGGCTGGCTGTGGACTCTAAACAGTCCTCTTGCCTCTGTCACCTGAGTGCTGAGACTGTGAGCGTATGCCAGCATATTTGACTTTAAGTTACTCCTACTTTTGAAATGAAACTGGCTCTGTGTCTCTGAGATCCCAACCCCACACATCACTTGTACCACATCACCTTGAGGCCTTAGTTAGCAGCAGGATCCCTGCTGCCCCACACCAAGGCAGGCCACTATACCTGGGTGCCAGTTCCATCTGCAGGGAGGGGCTGAGCCATCAGATCTAGGTCATCGCCAGTGCTGCCCACAGCCACATAGCTGTAGGAACCTCGGGTGTATGGGGCACTGTGCCATCGAGACCTCAGCACGCTCTTGGCTGCTGGCAATTGTGGGTTTCCTGAAACACAGAGATATGTTAACTCAGAATTCTCACTGACCTGGAAGAAAACCAAGCCAGTGCTTGTTTCCCTAAGGAAGCATCCCGTCTTAGCTGCTCTCCAGCATGACACAGGGACAGCTGGTGCCAATAAGCAACACTGTGAGATGCCTCCTAGAAGTTTCCTTCCCTGAAAGCATCTGACTAGGGACAACTGCATTTATTTTGGGTGGAAGATTTTAGAAAATAAAACTAGGAAGTGTTTAC